GACCAGTCTCAGGGGTCTTATTGTGAACTAAAGGCCACTTAAGCTATGGCCATTGCTTATCTTGGTTGGAGGGGAGTCGGAATGTTTGCCGAATATTGGAGAATCTTAACATGTCCCTTACTAAGGATATGGACAGTGGTGCCAATTTGGCACTCTGGTACTGCAATATGTCGTGAAGAGCCTCTGTGCTCCTGTGGGGCCAGACAGCATGGGTGATGCCTCTGCAACTCCCCATGTGGACTTAGGAAGGTGGCCTTCCTGCTCTTGTATACAGCCGCTTAGGACAAATCTGCAAAGCATGATTTGCATGTCACAGCATAGGTCCATCTGGATTAGTGTTTCTCCTGTTCTCACCTGACAGGTTCCTTTCCAAGCAATCAAGAAAAAAGAATCACAAAAACTGGAAACATTTCTTTAAAAAATGAAGACACTGTTTGTCCTGTAAGAATTCCATTCTTGGGCCAAAGTGCTAGGGAAAATTGCTAAGATGGCTTGAGGCCAAGAAGCTGTCACTGCTGCTTCATTTTTGCCTTCTGCAGATAAGCTCTTTCATCTCCCAAAAGGAGCCCTTCTTCACCCAGTGTCCATGGATTCAGGGTTTCAATAATGCCCCTATGTTGGTATGCAGAATTCCCTGACAATACGCCTTTTCTAGGGAGATGGTCAATAATGTTCTAGTGAGTTTCAAATGGGCTCGTGACCCAATAAGGCTTAAGAACCGTAGCCCTTGAAATAAAAGACTCTTTTTACAACCCATGAAGTATTGGATTGGAAGGACCTTACAAAATAATTTAGTTTATCCACTTTACAGTCAGAGAAACTGAACGACCACACCAAGACAAGGTCCCTAGTCCTTGGACTCCTATACCAGGTTCTTTCCATTCCACCAAACTAATCTAGCAAGGGGCTGTATGGTCAGGAGCCTTAGTGGCCATCATTCCTGGGAGTTTGGCTTTTACCTTCTTTCTTGAGTGCCACATAAGTGGAAAATTTAGGCATAAGCCCCTAATCCCCTTCATTTACCACCTCACTCATTGGAAAGAAAAATAAAACAGCATTGGTGTGGTGGGGAAGAAATCTGAGGAGTAGACATTTCTAATTGCTGCTTGGAAAAAGGAAACTGCCAGAAGCAGTGTCAGTCCATGTGTTCCCACACAGATGACTGGGAGTCATAGCCTGTCTTTAGGGTCTGCATAATGAAAATATTGAACAGTATGAGAGAACAGTCTTTCCTACTTGCATGCTTATAGTAACATCCTAATAGGGCATTGATTGTAGTACTGAGAAATAGAAATATGGAGAGAACGAGAAAGAATGATGAGATCACACACATATGCCCAAACCAAGTCTGGGATACCTTAGTAACTGAAAGGCAATAGTTGCTTCCAAGATGGAACTCCAAACATTGTTTATTGATGAGTTAGGAACCTATCAGCCAAATATATTGAGAGCCTTTGTGTAAACAATTGAATGGAACCTTTATGCGATTCTAAATCGAGACATGCCCAGGTGGCCACATTGAATTCTCTCCATTTTATCCGGTCTCAAAGGCTGAGTTGCTAAGAAACCAGGAGCAAGAGAGCCAAGTGGCCATCATTCCACCTGCTGCTATCCCCAAAGGGAGTCTGTGAGTTCTTGTTGAGTTCTGGTCTCAGAGCTGTGGCCTTCTTGCTCTGTCCTGTTGGATGTATAACTAAAGCAGGTAGGTATGCAGAATTTCACCATTGAGCAGTGGCCAGTGGGGCTCGGTACCTCTGAAGATGTTAGAGGCATGGTTTCCCTGTAGGTTCCTTGAGAGAACATACCATAATCACCACTACAAAAATCCGAAGTTTATTTCAAGCCAGAGAAAGCCACTGCAATCCGAGTGGAGGAGTTGTCCTAGAAATATAACCATGAGATTGATGAGTGTTGCTTGGGACATGGGTTAAGAACCTAGCCTGGGGAGTGGGGACCAGCACCCTGGAGGGGGCCCCCCAGAGCTCTGTCTGTGTTGGGTTATACAAGAAGAACGCAAGAGTAAAACATTGACATTCTGCTTTAATGAACAAAATCCTCTGGAGAGGCATGGTGTTGTGGAATGAGACAGACTGGCTGGCCTAGGCTTAGTGGATACATAGTCATTCAGAAAAGGCTATGGAAGATGGTGATAACTGGAGAATGGCAACTCTAGGAAATTATTGGCATGTCTTGGCCAGCAGGTGAGAGAAACTAGCAACTGGTGAACTGTAATTCCTGATTTGTCAATGCTAGCAAAAGAATGCACATTTATTAAGCACCTACTAAGAACTAGGTGCTTCCTATGCATCATTTCATATTTGCCTCACAACAGCAATCACACAAGTAATTTTGCAAATAAATTATGGCCTAGAGGGCTAAAGTAGCTATCTCAAGGGCACATAGAAAGTAAATTCCAGAACTTTGATTTGAATATGACTGTGTTTCCCATGCTGTTCTCTTTTTGCCACACTGAGGCAGGTGTTTGAACACAATCCACATTACAGGGTGCTGGTATGGATGTTGCCTCTGGCCTACCTAACAAAACATTAAAAATCAGGCATTTGAAGAAGTGAGGGGAAGCAAGTCTAGTTTACAAGAGAATGAAAATTAGGCTGAAAGATATTTCGAAATAGGGTTTTCTCATCACCTTCAGCTATACATTTGGTAATGTCTCTAAAAGGATCAAATGATTTTACCTTGTAAAGGATTTGTGTTTCAGTGGGTGATTGTTAGGTCAATGACTTAGCCGTTTTACAAAGGGAAAAATAGCCTTAGTGTATAACTCTATTTCACCAGGGCTGTCGCGTGGACAGTTTCCCCGCAAGAGACTAACGACATCCACACGTGCAGTTTGAGAGGCAGGAAAGGTCTCAGTGCCTCTGCGGCAACTTATGCCTTGAGGTCAATTTGCTACAATTTTTTTCTGTGGTGATAGCAAAAGTCAAAACATGGGTTAGAAAAAGAAATATTTAAATTTTTTTGAAGTTTTGTTTTTAAAAGAGGTGTGTGTGTGTGGGTGTGTGTGTGTGTGTGGGTGTGTGTGTGTGTTTGGGTATACAAGCACAGATGGGCAAAACTAAGCAATCCAATTTTAGTAATACAATAGTGTCCTATAGAGTATTTGTAAAATAATTGGCTATTGCAGAAAAGTATTATTCCCCTTTCAAGAGGTTCCTTGATTCTGTAAACTCTAGAACAAGTAAAGCAGTAGAAGCAAAAGTAGTTCTGTGACTAGAAAAACAATTCATTTTGAGAAAATGTTGATCAATTATACTGCTTTTAAAGTAGCTGCACACAAGTGGCCTTGACACATTGCAAGCCCAGAAAAAACTTCAGAAACAATAAAAAAAAGTTGCAGTTGCAGAGAGAGGCAAGATACCTTGCAGAGCTGTTTCCAATGAAGAAAAGCCTTTATTTTTAGTGGGGGATATGAAGCTCTTGATGCCACGAACCGTAATAGAGGGCTAGAAAAGACTGCTTCTTTGATACACACATATGCGATGTCAGAAAAAAGAATAAGATCCTAGAGCCCATTTATGTGACTTTTAATAAAATATGCAGATTGTCTAGTATAATGGCCTCTGTTTGCAGTTTTGTCACGGAAACAATCTTTGAGGGTTTGATGTTGCAGCCACTGCCTATCACTCATGTTGCCTTTCTTCTACATATCTAAAGAAACCTAGGTACTGAATTCTTTTGTACCCAGTACTCCTGCACTATAGTCCACTCTGCACGTGGCATCATCATTCCCTCAGGCCTCACAACATCCCTGTATGACAGGTGACAGCCTTTCTTACATATAAAGGCACTTGAGCCTCAATGAGACAAGAAATGATTTGCCCAACACACTAGGTGTTAAAAACCAGGCCTGAAAGCTCAAGGAGCCTTTCTGTTTCTAATCCACAAACAGGAAATAAAAGGAGTCCCAAAGGTAAGTGGAAAAGATGCTTAGAAGTTGGGCTGCTGAAAACATCTGGAAGTCTTGCTATTCAAAATGTGGCCCACCATCAGCCTCAGGGTCAGCAGTACCTGGGAGCTT